AGGAGTTAAGGAGTAGAGAACATTATAATGTATTGTGGTGAAAAGGGCAAAAAGGAGTTTAATGATTAGGATAAGTGGACAGAATCAAGGATGGAAAAAAAGAAAAGGAAAGGAGAAGAAAGGACAATGCAAAGTAGTTGAGCAAGGGCTGAGGGCCAAGGTTGGGTGATCCCCTACATTGGACCCTCAGTCCCCATCTCATAAGCAGCAAGGGATTGGGGACACACACACACACACACAATTGATATATATATATATATATATATATATATATATATATATATATATATATATCTATATAAATATGTATATATATTTTATATATGTATATATATATATATATATATTATATATTCACATTTACACATATACAAACTCCTGTATATAAAAATATGTATACAAACATATATGTGTATATATATACATATATATTCTAAAAAAATAATAGTATTATCTGTCACTTCTCTGGCATCTACGAAGATAACATGTTACATTTCCTAAGAGAGGGATACTAAAAAAATATATTTCTTAATCTTATTTTTATTAGTGCACCTGATTGGGCCAATTTTGAGATCACAGTCTGTTTGATGCAAGATTCTTGGTATTCACTAATTATATCTGTAGACACAAAATAAAACATGTGTCTGTTTAACAACTCACTTTCTCAGACTGCTGCTGGTCAAGCTTTACAAGTCCATCAGCATATTGAAATTCAGAACTATTTTCGTATTCAGACATATCAAGGGCTACTTCACAACTCTCTCGCACAACTCGAGCTTCATCTCCAAGATAGTCCTTTAGTACTGCCATGGCTCTCTCTGTAGCCACTGATCCAAGAGCTTCAGCTGCTTCATGTCTAACCATTTCATTTTCTTTTTCATCTCGAACAACGGCAGCTAACTCATCTACTACTGCATCACTTGCCATCTGACCCAGTACATATCCAATTTCATGCCTGAAAAGAGCACTTGAGCATTTGAATCCAGCTGACAACGCCTTAGCACTTTCTGGGGTGTTCATGTTACGCAGAGAAAACATAGCTCTATATCTGTCGAATAGTGGCAGAGATTCATCAAGGAGTATTTCTCTTAATTTTTCAGTACTGGTCTCTGTTGATGGTGGTGTTGGATCAACAGAAAGGAATTTTCCATCACTTTCAAACTTTTCTCTTTCCTTGGCTTCACTCTGTAACCACTCTATTCTTCCAACTGCTAACTGACAGGTCTCTGCAACTTCTACAACTGGGTCCTTGCTATATTCTCTGAGTAATGTAAGCACGCTTGGATCACCTATGGCCCCTAGTGCTTCCCTGCCTCATGTCGTACCATTGGCTCTTGCTGTACATCTTTGAGTACCTCAATAAGCTTGGGAATAGCTTTTACATCTCCCATCTGTCCAAGGCAGTAGGCCAACTCGTGTTTCAACAAAGCTGATGGGTCGCCAAGCATTGTGAAATAGCAGCAATGG